GAGGACAAAGATCAATGTCTTTTTTTTGTTTTCCCCCTTTTAAAAAAAAAAAAAATATATATATATATATATATATATATATATATAAAATAACTAAATCACAAGTTTGAACTTACATAGGATCCTATGAATGCTGATGTTTTGCAGAGAGACAGAAGACATTTAACTTTAAAGCTAATGATGAGTCCTGTAAAGCAGTGGTCTCCAAAGTGGGGTGAACAAGACGATCCATTGGGGTGCGGGAAGAAAATATTAGAACTTCTACTTACATTTATATAAATATACATATATTGGGGGTGCATGCTCCAAAATTTTTTACTGATAGGGGTGCGTGATCAAAAAAGTTTGGAGACCACTGCTGTAGAGAATTTAATCAATGGCCTGTCTCTGATAAAATGAGACAATAAGTCATCTTAAAAAATTGCTATCCATTTATCAATGTTGTAACACTGGAAAGACAAGTTAAATCCATGAAAATATTTAAGATCAAAGAAAAAAACAGTGTCTGCAAACTTGCCTTGTGAAACACAATGGACATCATGAAGAAATTCAGCAAGAAGTCATCTGAGCTCTCTCCATTGTCAAAGTGGAAGAAAACTATAGTGAAGCTTAAAGTAACAAATTGATTAATAGGATTACAGAATGAGGACCGAAGTAGCTTCATTCCAGCAACTGTTATCAGGATAATATCACAGCTGTAGGGGTGAAAAAGAATAAATTTAATTAAGTCAAAGTAACAACAAACAAAAAAGAAAATAATTGATACCTAATGAATGTGGACAGCCATACCAGACCCATTTTTGGCTGGTGTGTCTATATGCATGCAGGCTATAGATGACTTTGTTCTATGTTTGCTTAATTTATCCATAACAGCATAGCTTTATGCTCCCAATAATACATATTTGTTTGATACTTAACAGACTCTAACACAGGAACAATGTTGTATTATAAAAGAAAAGCATTCATTAGGCAGAAAGTCCCTTATAATGATATAGTTCAATAAAATACAGTTTAACTTGTATAAACTGATGTGAAAACTAACTCACCTAGTGCATACAGTCTGTTTTGCTACCTGTGAAAAAAAGCTACAGAAAGGGAACGTAACCTGGACTCTAGGTAGTAGGTATCTGCTCAGAAAACTAAATGAGTTTTCCACTAAGAAGAAAGGCTGTCCAACTATAAGAGTACAGCATTTGGCTATTTCAACCTCCAAAGATCTTTAACAATTAATTTGTGACTCTGTTTGCCCATGTTGAAAGTCAGACCCTCCCTTTGACTGAAAATAAGATCCTAACCTTAGACAGGAGACAGGCACCAGGCTTGGGTGGTTTCTGGGAACTTGAAGGCACAAATCTAGGCACATGGGGAGCTTTAAAGTGAAAATGGGGAGGAATCTAGTACGCTCAAATGCCTCCAAGGTTAGGCAGCAGCTGAATAATATTTTTTATAAAGAGTACATTTGGGCTTAAAAGTCTAAATAAGTCCAAACCCTACTTTAGGCACTTAAGTCATTCACTGATTTTAGCCTTCAAAGAATGACCTAAAATTCACCACGGTGCACATGCAACTCTCTTTTTTAATGCAGACTAATTGTCTTCTTGCAATCACAGATGACTTACAGAACTTTCCCTGAAGTACTTTTTAAATGCCGGCAACCACAGACAGGGACCTTGAAGTCACCAATATGTAAGATCAGAATCAGGTCCAATGGTTGCAAAATGCAACAAAAATATTCCTTCACATCAGCAACAAATCAGTAAAATGCCTGCTAAAGTGAGTGACACTTGACAGCTCCAAAACTTTAAAGAGAATGTTGAGATCACCAGGATATCTTGGCTCAAACTGCATTTCTGTCATTTCAGCAAAGCTCTCAGATTGTGCAGCTCAGTTGATTTCATTTTATGTTGCATTTATTCATTGCAGCTATCCTTTATTGCAGATTCAACTTTATTTGAGTTCAGGCCACTCACAAGAATCACTTAGGCATCAGTCTGGATGAAATGGCTAGAGAATTCATTTCTTACCCTGCTAGAGCTGGTGCTTTCAATTATTTGCAGATTTCTGAGTGAAAAAACAGGAACTAGAGTAAAAACATTTTGAACCTCTTATGAACCACATTTAAATGAGATAAGCACATTTGTTCCATCCAAAATGAAAATTCTTGGAGCAATGAGGAAGATATTAATGCGGAGAAGAAATTAGATCGTGGAGCAGCAGCAATAGATAATGCTGAAAGACCCTTTTCCCTAAGCAAATCATTAGTGATGTTCCTCAGCTATCCTTAAAACTTTTGGCAGACAGAAGTTTTATAAACATACCCTCCTGCTGCAGGGGTGGGCAAAATGCAGCCCGTGGGCCAAATGCAGCCCACCAGGCCATTCTATCTGACCCACGGTGCCTCTAAAAAATGTAGAGAATTAATATTTATCTGCCCCTGGCTGCCTGTCATGCATCCCTTGACGGCATGCCAAAACCCAGTAAGCAGCCCTCCACCCAAAATAACTGCCCACCCCTGTGTTAGAGGATTAGAGGAAATTGTTTTCTGTTAATTCTGCTTCTTTAAAGATATGACGTAAGAAAGTTCTCTCTTTGGTGCTAAACGCCAGTAGCAGAAAGGATACAACTGCACTCACTCAGCTATGATTTTTTAACTTATTGAGGCAGGAAGAGTAGCAGACCACAAGGGAAGCCATGTGAGCCTGTCCAGTGAGCCTCATCAACAGCTAGGATTTCTGCTTCTGGAACCTTCCAATGAGTTCCTAATTGTGCAGAAAGTATCAGCTCCTCTCCAAGAAAAAAAATCCAATTAAAAATTTTAATTACAAAAATAAATGAAATTAGAAAATATAATTGCAAAGATATTACCTCAAAAACATTACATTGATCTCAGAGGGGAATTGAGCATGTGCATAAGAATCATGAAAGATGGCCTTAAAATGTCATAATGGTAAGTAACCTCCCTTTTTCCAACTCTCAGATATATAACACTCCTCCTTAGGCAACAAAGACCTATCATGGTACACAAATCCACCTGCACTATGTAATATAGGTAGCCTATCGTTCAGGCTTATTAACTACTAGCAAGCACATTTCTAGACAAATATATATTTGAAGGTATCTTGATTCTCCCTCTCTTCCTGCCTCTATTTGCCTCTGGAGAAAACATGTTGGAGTCTGACTGGCACCAGTCCCAAGATTTTGCAATTGCTGTCCACTGACTGGACTTATACCTTATCGCTTCCAAGACATAGCTTTAGGGGTTAGGGACAGGCATTCAAAAAGCCTGAGCCTGAATTGATTCAATCTTTGCAGGTTAGTCTAATCTGGCTATGCTGAACCAGTTGGAAACTGGACAGATATTCTCTCTGGACTGAGGAAAATTAGGCACATGCCTGCAGTGGCTCAGGCAAGAAGCCGGGGGGCACTAGAGAAGCCCTCCCTTCCCTTCTACAGTGCTGAGCTGAGCGGGGCATGACCAGGCCCCAGCAGGACTTTCTCATTAGGGGTGTCTGCCTGCACCATCCCAGGCTTTTCCCCACTAGCTGCTCAAGGGGTGGGAGAGTTGTCAGTCCCCAGACCCTTGCTAGCACTCTGAGGCAAGGTGGGGTGTGCAGTGCATGCATCTGTTGATGATACAGGACGTTTCAATCTCCTTCCCTGCTTGTCAGACTGTCTGCAGAAAACTGACAGGTGAGCAAGGTAGCCCAGAGCTGATAAGAGTCTTTATCACCCACTTAGCAAAACAGTAGCCTTTCACCCATTACTTCAAACTCTTCTTAAACAGCTTACCAGGGTGACCTGTTGATTCGTTCCAAAAGCCCTGTTCTGTCTGCCTGCCTGTCCCAGTGAAATTGGAGAGACACACACAGAGATGCCTATTGGCATTAGCTAACATACCACATGCCTAGAGTCCATGGGGCTGGGGTCCGTGCTGTGGGAGATGGGAGGGAGGGAAGGGGGGATTTCCTGCTTGAGCAACAAGGTGGGGGGTAGGGTAGGGTAGGGAGGAGCCAGCAGACCCTGGTGTGTTTGCAGTCGCTGCTGGAGCCTTATACAGGACTAGGTAGCATACAACAAGCTGGCTATGGTTCATGCTGTGGAGAGAGGAGGAAGGGATCCTTGCTTAAGCAGCAAGTGGTGAGAGGGGAGGCAGAGGGGGGCACGGAGAAGCCAGCAGACCCAGCCAGAGGAGCTCTGCCCAGGGAGCAGAGGGGAGGGGCCATACCTGCTGTGAAGCAGAGAGCCCTGCCCAGCCCAGACAGCATGCCGGAATGCTGGGGGTTTATCTTAAACCAGCAAGGGGTCTCGAACAGACATTGCAAAAACCAGTTTGAGCCCAATCAGTTAAGTCTGATATTACATTCAGCCAGGCTTATCTCAAACCAGTTTCAGCCATTTTCAAGCTGGTTTAGGTGCACTAAACACCTGTTCTGTAACAGGTTTAAACCAGTTTCTGATACTTAAACCAGTTTATGTGTAATGTCCGTCTCTAGCAGGAAGTTTCTTCTTATATGTTATAACCAGTGATCAACACTTTCACTTTGTTTTAGGATTGTGGGGTGCCCCAATTCCACTCAAAGAAGCTTCTTTAAAAATTAAATAATCTAAAAATATATATATTAAACAGTGCCCACACTGGAACCTTCTGGCCTTTGTTTTGACACCTTCTTTCACAGAGAAAGCCAAATTAAATTTGAAAGTAGCTGTGTTTTAAAAACTTAAACTATAAAGTCAGACAACGTGAATTCTGTCTTAAAACCAGAGTTGCCAGTCATTCTGTTTATTTTAATTCTTGCAATATTTAGCTTTCTTCTTAAGTTTTCATAATCTATTGATTTCTATGTTCAAACTTTCAGAGGTCAACTCTTATCCTTTAACACTGAAAGGCAGTTAATCATTGAAAAAACCTTCTTAAGGATATGAAACACTCTCCGTCACTTGAAGTTTTTTAGCTATAGCTCACCCAGACATTATGGCTTGATGTAAAAATTACTTGGTAAGGTTAAGTGGTTTGTTTTATACAGGTGATCAGACAAGATCAACAAAACAGTCCCTTTTGGTCTTAAAATAACATGTCTAAAAAGGCCACCATCTTAATGGGGCTAACCCAGGGTGGGCAAAATCTAGCCCATGGGCTAAATCCAGCCTGCCAAGCCATTCTATCCAGCCCACGGGGCCCCTAAAAAATTTAGAAAATTAATATTTATCTGCTCCTAGCTGCCTGTTAAAGATGACAGGAGTCAGGGGCAGTAGGACCCAGCAGCCCAGCCCCATCCCACCCCTGTCATTTCTCTGTGTTCTTGTCCGTGCACTGCTTCAGCACCACATGGCTCCCGGCTGCATCACTAGACCATGGGAACACAGGGCCAGGGATGGGAGGGGTGTGTGTATGTTCATTCATAGGGTGAGTCCCACACACCCCCGCCACCATACACATGCACCCACACACCCCTCGTACTGCCATACATGCATACCCCTGCACCATATACCTCACACACCCCTGCCACCCTCTCCCCATGCAATCCCCCACAAACCCCATACCCACCCACACACCACATATCACTCCACACACCCACATGCTCCCTCACCCCCCCACACCTATCCACCCCCACAGACACATGCACACTGTCCCCCATACATCACATACCCACAGCCCCACAAACCTATACCCAGCCCTCACCCTCCCACAATATACAAGAGTAAGAGTTCATTTCACCTCTATGTACACTACACAAATACATGTAAACCAGGGCAAAAATATTTTTTGAAATCAAATAAATGAATGTTTTAGATATTTGCTTTTTAGAATATAATTTGGTATTTTTCTGGTTCTGAGATGGCAAAACCCCTTGCTGAAAGGAACACTTCCAGGGGCAAGGGCAGGGACTTCAGGTCACAATATGGCGATCATGGGGCGGGGCACCCATCAAGGGGCAGGGCTACCCATGTGGCCCTTGACAACTTGCCAAAACTTGGCAAGTGGCCCTCAGCCCAAAATAATTGCCCACCCCTGCTAAGCTGATAGTGCCTCTTCAGGTATGTCTATAGGGTGCAAGGCAGTGTCATGTGAGATGCCGTACATGCTAGCTCTTAAACTAGAAGCAATGTAGCCATGTTAATGTGGCATGCATACCATTAAATTCGGCCTCTCAGAAGTGTCTCATCACAATGCTGCTTTGTGCCCTGTAGACATAGCTTTAGTGAGGGCAAGGTAGGATATAGGAGAATGTAACAAGACTACAAACTACCAGGCAGATATCTTGGTAAGTTCATGATAACAGAGAAATGAGGGAAAACTGAGGGAACTGCAAGGGACTGTGAGGTAGAAAGGACAGAATGAAAGGGAGTATGCATGAACGGAGGCAGCATAAAAGCTGATTACGATGATACATGGGAAAAAGGAGTGCTGGAGGAGAATGAGTTGGTGGGAAATGCAAGGGAGGAAAGAAAGTGATAAGAAAGGGGAGAAAATAGGCAAGTGGGAAGGGGATGGAGGAAGAATGAGTATTGCACAGCTACTATCCCTTCACTCTATTCTCTCTCTCCAAGATAGAAGGCTGGCAAGGCCTAGAATGGCTGCCCTTCATACCAAATGGGACAAGAAAGATGAAAGGCACATCTAGACTGCAATCCAGAGATGTCACTACCACTCACGTGGATATATCCAAACTACAATATTTACTCGAATCTAAATTACCCTGAATTTAAGTTGACCCCTGAATAATTAGATTCTATATATGGAAAATGTATAAATTTGTTATAATTTTCCAGGTATAGAATCTAATTATTGCAGGGTTGTTTTACATCCCCACCCCCCCTTACAACAAGGAAAGCACTGGCTAAGGGGGGTCATGTAGCCCCCCTTTGATCTCTGCCCCCCTCAATTCTTCCCCCTGCAGCCTTCTTGCCCCTCTGCCACCTTCACCCCCTCCACCAGCTCCCCACAGCTTCTGCCTCCCCCAACCCAGCTCCCTGCAGTCTCTGCCTCTCCCTGCCCCACTTACTGGCTGCTTGGGCTCTGTTCCTTCCCAGAGCATAGCACATGGAAGTGCAGCCTCTGCTGCCCATGCAGCAGCAGTGGCACTGCTGATTTGCCAGGACAGGGAATGGAATTTTCTTGTGCTCTGTGCTCAGGACGAAATCCAGCCCAAGCCTAAGCTGAGCTGCCTGACAGTAAGGGGGTGGGGAGAAGGGGGCCAGGAGCTGCAGAGGGCAAGTGGAGTGGGGGTCAGGAGGCTGTTGCACATCTCGATTCTGACCGCAGCCACCTGCCTCCTCCCTTCACTTGTACATGAATCTAAGCTAATCTAATGTCTTTTCTCCCCTCCCCATCCTGATTCAATAAATACAGTAGCTTTAGGTCAAATACCAGTGGCCAGCTAGCTGCAGCAACATAGACCTCAGGGTTGGTTATCTCCCCGAATATTCATACAGATTTCTGGGTATATTCTGCAGCCCATACTGAGCCCCATGCTACCATGGCAAGACTGCTACCAGCACCTAAGCAAGCCAACTTAAAACTAATTTGAATATGTCTATATAAAAAAATCAGCGGTAATGTCTTGGATTGAACTGTAGGTGTAGCTTATGTGGACTCTACTCTGAAGAGGAGGCAAACATTAATTTTTGTTTGTTTGTTTTTAAGTATTTTGATAAGCAAATTTAAAATCCATAAATGATCACATATACCTTAGAGAGTTGTGCCATTTCCCTAAAGGCTAAATGATGAGAAGGCTGACCCAAAAACGTTCTCTCTTTCTTTCTTTTTTATCCCATGATTGCTGCAAGATCAACTCATGATTTTTGATCACTTGAGCTTGACAATGTTAAAGTGTGATTCTATTTTGAAAAACAGCTATGTAAAAGTAGCATCCTGTTACTCAGCAGATCAGCTCCTTGAGTGTGTCACAGATGCATCTGAAGATTAGTGGCAAATTAAATCCTGTCTGTGAAGTTTAGTAGCCCTATACAACCTATTCAGCTGTGAGAATGACCTGGGTTTTATTCTGGGCAACACACAGGCTCCCAAGTCAGTAGGATGTTGACTTCTTTCAGTCAGACTTAGCTTCCCAAGTGCCTGATTCACTTTTGAAAATAGGCCTTTCTGAAAATGTTGCTGTAAATTCCTGCCAGTTAGTAGTCTGCAAGCTGAATGCAGGCAATGGACTTGAAAAAAAAGTGGCAATAAGAGCATAGTTTGAAGACAGCTGGGCTGACAGATGTCACAAAGGGTACATTTCATCTTGCAAAACCTCCATTTCACAGATGATAGTGCACAATATGGAACTGCATAATACTAGTTTTTATTAAATGTTGTTTTAGAATAGAAATTCAAAACGTTCAGTTCAGGAATAATATGCAAACATGTACAGTTTATTTAGATGAAGCTCTTTGGGGCTACAACCATCTTTTTCTTATCTCTATATAGTCCCTAGAAAAATGGGCTGGGGACCCTTATGTATTACTATAATAAAAAGTAATCATAATTAAACTAACATCCATTCATTATATCTTTTTAATCTTATTGTTATATTGTAAAAATATGTTCCATTTTAATGGAGCTTTGATCTTGAAAAATGATTTTAAAAACTAGCCGTTAATTTACTGTTATTCTGAAAAATCTCTGCTGAAATTCTGCACAGTAAAGACACTCCAGTCACTACAGTTAATGTATGGCACTTCGTAGGTCATCAAGCAAAGATCTCTACCATAAAAGGTTGTTTTCAAGGAACACACTAGAATACTGAGGAACAGCAGCATTTACCTCTAATCAGAGATATCAGACACAGAAAAAGCTTATACTGTGTTTCTCATGTTCCTGTTAATGCAAGGCTACTCACCACTCTACATTGCTGAATGCTTTGTGCAGTCTAGCCTTCAATGGACTGTGTAATGAGGTTTCCAAGTATTTCATAGTTTCATAAACCTCACAGTTAGGATGTATTTTCTGATAGCAGCCTAGATTTTTCATTTCATCTCATTAATTCTAGCATCCCTGTTGTGTATACACCCATCAAACACCTGCAGACTGTTATACTATCTCCAGTTTTTAACTATCATTTAGGTTTTCTACACATATTTGATTCTTTAATTTGCCTTTATAAATTTCAGTCTTTCTAGCCTCGGTCATGTTTTGTTGCAGCAGTAGCTAAAACATCTTCTTTATCATATGCTAAAGTGGTTTCAACTATGTTACTACAGCCAATAATTATCAGATTTAGTACTTATTATTCATTAGTTGTACAAAACCAAGCCATGACAAATAACTAGATTCATTTATGCAACACTAAACTTCATCATCTCTTGTGCATTAATCTAAATACAAAATCATATCATTATTAATCTTGGGCTAGGAACTATAATCAACTTACTGTGTACCAAATTTCTTGTGTTTGGTAATTGAAAAAGCAGCGATGGTGAGGCCATTCAATATTATTGCTGGATACAGGATGTATTTCTCAAAACACTGAAGCCATACATAGAGTCTTTCAAACCACATTAAATGAGCAGCATCTGAAATACAAACCCAGATAACAGACCATTCTGTCAAATTATTACTTTTTTATACATACTATATAAATAAAAGAGAAAAAACAAATGAGTTCTGGATTTCACATAGGTTAGTCTCATATGGTAGGCTTAACAGTAATTTCCCTGCTAGAACTGGTACATTAGTTACATGGTACAATACCTAACGGAATGCTTAATTGTTTTGCCATATAATAGTTATCTGTGGTTATGGATACTTCGCAAATATTTGCTTCTTCTTATTGTATCCCCCAGCCACAGGAACCAAATTCTTCCCCCCCCCCCCCCAAATAAAAATAAAAAACCAAAATAAAATAAAACTCCCCCTAAAAAACCCAGCTCCTGGATACTGAAGCATACATTACAAGCAAGGAAATACAGTAATAAGTTTCTGTTGGTTAAGCTTCTGCCAGGCAAAAGGAAAAGTAAAGTCTGCATGTGAGTCACAGGAGGAGGGAAACAATGAGCAGGCTCAGTTCCCTAGCTGCCACTCTTCAGTCACTACAAGGAAAGATCTTTTAAATTCATGCTGCCTTTAAAATACAAGGTATGTATCTTATTCCAGGGTATGCTGTATATGAGAAAATATGGGTAAATAAATTACGATGGTACATGCTAAAGGCAGATGCTTGTTAATATCATATTTTTGGCTGTCAAAAACCTGTTATTTCTCATATTTTTGCCACTTTTCTGCTTTAAACTAATCCAATTATTAAACATTACTAAATAGATTGTACACTTCAAGTGGCTGGGGTGTGGGTGGAGGGGCAGTATAGTCTATCAGACAGAGCACTAGCCTGGGTCTAAGAACAAATGGATTCTCTCTCCCAGTTTTGCTGGATAATCTTGCACCAGTTACTCCACCAGTTTGTGAATGAGTTTCCCCAACTGTAAAATGGGAATCATTATACAGACCTCCTTGGTAAAGTGGACCAGGCTTTGAAACCTAGCCATGAAAAGTATTAATGGAGAAGCTAAACATTATAGAAGCATTAATATAGAAGCTAGACTGTTATCCCAAACGAACCCTTAAAAATAAGCTGTTATAAAAAGAAGATAGAGCAGAAGCCAGACACAAACATATCTGATAAAAGCAGAACATCAGGAAAACAAATTTTCCAGCATTGGAGTACCTGATACAAGAACAACCTTGTTTGGATATCAAACACATTTCCATTTTTGCCATAGCAACATAATTACAATTGTGACAAATTAGCTATAATTAGTGTGAAAGTCAGCATCAGCTAGCTTGGTGTGCCACCAGAGAGGTCTCACACCTTGTGAAAAATGTCTTTGTTGACTCTGTTTGGTCAGCAAACTTTCAGTCATGTGTTGTGATCTTTTAGGCCATGATATCAATTTGAAAAAGTGAGCTTATGGGATTTCTGAACTTATTGCAACCAAATTTTCACCATCAGTGAAGAGGGTTGGGAACCTACAGCCCCTAGGCTGGAACTAGCCTGCAGAGCCATTTGAGCCAGCCCACAGACATAGGGCTTCAGTGATACTTGGTCAGGGGAGAAAAAGCCTTCAGCAGTAGTCGCTTTCCTCTGCCACCATGGGGAAAAGCACTAGCACAGGTGCTTTTCCTGTGCTGCTGCTGGAAAAGCAGCAGCAGGGACTGGGTCCTAGTGCTTGACTACCCCTGACTTGGATCAGTCTGGCCTAGAGCTTTAAAAGGTTGCTGACTGCTGCTCTAGTGGATTTCTAATAAAAATATACATTTGGGATACAAGATCAACATGATAGTGCAATGGCAGCAGAAGATACGCTTTGTGCGGATCCAGAAGTGTTCTACTAGTTATTAGAATCACCAGTTACTATCAGCCAAGTGCTCTGCCCCCATGAGAGTCTCATATGCACAAACAAAGTACTATGTATATACACTGGAACTAAAAAATGAGCAACATTTTAATTACACTACACTACATACGTGTCACGTCTTATTATTACTGCACTGGTGAAGGAAGGGCAAGGTGAATGTGTGATATAAACATGCTTCAGATTTAACTACATGTGACCTTGCTCCCAAGGGGGGTAAAATTCTCTCCAGTTCCTTTTGTACAAAGACCACTTCAGTCAGCACCAGTGAGCTCATCTCACAGGCAGAATTTCACAGCCATGTACCAGTATATTCACTAGTTAGGAAATAAATGCTGTACGCAAGTGTTTCCCAAACACTGTGCCACCTCTGCCCCTTCCACCCTGGTGTCAATTTGCCCAGTGACTGGGGAGGTGGGGAGGAGGCGGCAGCAGGGTGGCATGAGAATGGCTGACATGGGGGTGCTGCCAATTGCCACTGCAATTTGTGCACATCCCTTGTAGGAGACGGTCATGCTTCTCCCCAGCAGGGCATAAACTACTGCTTGAGAAATACAGGTTCATGCCATTTAAAGTTTCAGGGAAAACATGGGTAACCAGAGGGAAGTTTTCTAAATAACACCCATATTCTGCAGAAAGTAAATACTGAGCAATACCCCTGCAGGGGACAGGCTTCTGTGTTCAGGGTTTCCAGCCACTTTATTTTACGTGGGGCCACCTTATCCCCACAATAAACAAAACAAACAAGCATGCAAATAAAAAAACAAAACTAAAATCTGATGTCTTTCTTCAGACCTTGAGGAGGACCACACAGGTTTTGTACTTCTTCCTTATCATCACAGTCTGCTCATCTCTCTTGCACACTGCTCCTGAGGCTTTTAACCCTCTTCATGGCTCCGCCCTAATTTTCTAGTTATCAGTTGCAGCTGACTCCCAGACTCCCAAACACATGGACTTTTTACTGCCAGTCACCGATTGCTGGGTTTCAGCCCGTGAAGGCTGAGCACCTCTTTATACTTCCCTTCTAACATTGCACATAAACACAAAGAGAGGCTTTTCTGAGCACAGAGTGCTCCTGGATTCTGCAACACAGGCTCATCCACCTGCCCCAACCCAAAACTAAACTCTTCTGAGCAGCTACATGTTGAATGGACAGTGGGGAGGATCAGTGTATCAAGACAGGTTAGAGAGCAGATGGTTGCAAGACTCAAGGAAGGAGGTGGTAAGGCCAGAAGAGAGTTTTAGCAATGTGAAAACAAAGAAGAGGTCAGACTTTACAAAGGGCATGGAGAAATAGATGAAATGATCTGAAAACAATATAGTAAGGGACAAGGAGGAAGGAAAATTCTGAATTGTCTATCCCTCCTTTTGCCCTCAGTTATAGACCAGAACAATGGAGCTACACAAAATGCAGGGAAAAGAGCAGGGCTTAAGAAAGAAGATACTGTTGCTAAACAAGACCATTTAAACTTTAGGCAGCTAGGACATACAGGCTAAGAACAGACATTCAAAAAGTCTGAGCCTGACTTGATTCAATCTTTGCAGGTTAGTTTTATCTGCCTATGCTGAATCAGTCTGTAACCACACAGACATCCCCTCTGGACTGAAAAAATGCAGGCACATGCCTGCAGTGGCTCAGGCTAGAAGCCAGTGGGGGGGGGGGGGTGCAAGAGCAGCCCTCCCTTTCCTTCCACAGTGCTGAGCCAAAGTGGGGCATGGCCAGACCCTGGCAGGATGCTCTGATAAGGGAGGGGTTCCTCCCCTTCCCTTTCGCTGGTCAGCCAGGAATCCAGCAGAGGTTTACACAGCATTTATCACCCCATCAGAAAAACAAAAGGATCTCTCATTAGTTCAAGCTCTACTTAAACAACTTGTTCCAATGAAGGAACAAAGGGGCATTACCAGCTACCTGTTGATTAGCTCCAGAGAGCCCTAAGCCACAGTCCTGTCTGCTTTTGTCCTGTCTACCACAGCACAGACTGTAGCCAGCATATGGTATGCTAGCTAATGCTGACAGGTGTCTATTTAGGGCAGAGGGGACAGGGGAATCCCTGCTTTACCAGGGAATGGTGAGGGGGAGCGGGAAAGCAGGAGGAAGCCAGGCAGATCCTGCTGTACCTGCAGTCTCTGCCGGAGCTATAGTTAGGAAGCAGAGGGGAGTGGCCAGCCCTGCCATGCTGGTGCAGTGAGCAGAGACGTGCCCAGCAAAGCATCTTGGATTCTGGGGAACTCTGATTTAACTTAGACTAGGAAGGGGTCTGGGACAGATATTGCATAAACCAGTTTGACTCAAATCAGTTAGGTCTGATGCTATATTCAACTAGGTTTATCTCAAACTGGTTTCAGCCATTTTCAAACTGGTGTATGTACACTGAACATCTGTTCTGTTACAGGTTTAAACCAGTGTCTGAGCACTTAAATCAGTTTATGTGTAATGTATGTCCCTAGCCACAAGGTTAACACATTTAGATGGGTGAATGAATGGATGGAGACAAACTAGGAATAGACTGTATACATGAGAGGAGTCAGGGTACAAAGAGAAAATGACTGATGGTTCATGTGTAGATAAGATCACCCAAAGAGGCAAGAAGAAATGCCTAGAAACAGACAGAGGACCAAGAAAGAATGCTGAGGAAGGAATGACAAGGAAAATATGACTAACAAGATCAAAAGCAGGAGAAAGGTAGAGGGTAGAGAAAAGGTCTCAAGATCTAGCCTGAAAAGTTGAGACATGTTAGCAAGGGCAAGTTCAATGGAGTGGAAGCCATAGATTAAAGAGGCCCCAGGATGGAATGAAAGGAGAGAAGCTCAAAGTAGAAGCTGCAGATTATATGTTCAGCAAGCAAGAGGGAAAGGCAAAAGACAGAAGTCAGTGGTAATCAGAGATGCAAGAAATATTATGGGTGGACAGCTTGGGGATAGAGAATACCAAATTATTCTTGTACTGTAAGGAAAGAGAGCTACAGAACTGTGACAAGCCAATTAAAGGGTGACAATGAAAGAAAGTAGGGAAAAGAAAGTTATGAGATTGGAGACCAGATGAGAGACAACATTAATTTTACTAGAAAGTGAAGAGAGAATATGAAAAAAAAGAGTAGGGGGGAGTTTGAATCTTGTCAATCTTCTCTCTCAAAATGTCAGTAAGAGGAGAAAAGCAGGAATTT